TCCCTCGGCTTTTCTTGCCGGTCATCATGCAGTTACTGGGTCGGGTCCATCACCTACCAAGAAGCCGAGCACGGTGACATGGTCAGTCAGCTAGTACCCCATGAATTAAATATGCCTTGGATCCTGGGTCAACCCGTCTCTTCATGGAATGGGCTCATGTGTCATGGGTCTGCTGAAGAGCTTTGAATCCCATGCAGCGTGGATCAGCCCAACCTGGTCCCATCCAGTTGACACTATACGGCCGAGTTTCGTCTTCACTCAGGTTTTATTTGCCAAGTTGCTCAAACATTACCTCGGCTTTTCTTTGCCGGTCATGGTCCAGTATTCGGTCATGCAGTTTACTGGGTCCATGACTTCCCAAGAAGCTGAGCACGGTGACGTTCACAAGGCAGTGAAATATATTATGCACACCCCCGGTTCAAAATCCCTACCAAGTTTATACCGACCAATGTTTCTTGTAAACATACCCATGTTGGAACGGGTCTGGCTCAAACAACCACACTCGGCTGCCTGAAATAAACGCCAAGCTGTTACTATGCCGGTCTCCATTGGACAAAGTTGCTCCAAGATCCCCCCGCTTTCTTACTGCTTTCATTATTATGTCCACCACAGGACTTCATATTAAATATGCCCAAAAAAAAATTGTAGATTGTCCAAAAAATATACATGTATGCTACTAACTATTAAGTAGATGGAGTTTGGACAGTTTGGACATCATTGTTTGTAACTTGCTGGCAGTCAGATTTTTGAATCCTCACCAAGTAGAAGACTTACTCTGTGCGGGGGTTTGAATGGGGGTTTGGATAGAGTAAAAAGGACGTACGGTAAGGTAACCCTCTCGCCGTCGTCATCGATGATGGTCAAGAGTATCGTCCCCTAATCACCATGTTAGTGGGAAAAAGGAAGTACAAAGGGGATTGCTCACGTCTGGCAACCTGCCGGTGGAGTCTACGGTTGCAAACATGAGGCCACCGCTACTCATATTATACCAGACTCGGGTTCCTTTCTGACGAATCATCAGCTGGTTACGACCAATGGAGATGTACAGAACCTACAGGGTAGGGGTTGGGTGGAGGGATACCCAACAGACTCCAGATTGTCATGGGGGTGAAGTTATTCATGTCACAGATGAGGGGGGTGAAGATGGGTCCTTGAAATGCGAGAGGGTTTTTAAAGGGGAAACACGGATGTTTTCAGGTTAAATTACAACCCTCGATGCAACCCTATATCAGAAGCATAAATGATGGCGGCACAGGCCTCGAGGCCAAATTGCAAAAAAGAGTTGAAAGAGTCATAAACATAAGCATGGCCGGGGATTGAACCCGGAAGCCAACTACCATTAGACCATGCTGGCTTCCAAAGATTGTTGGTAAATCTGGGATAAGGGGTGAATTCTTGATTTCGTACTCCAATTGGTCTCATGTCCGGGCCCAGCTTGAACTGTAGTTTAAATGCCGAACAAGTCAGTGCTGAGTTTATAGGACT